TCAGGGACATTTATGTTTCCATAAACTCATGTAATGCTGAATAAATAGATAGTTTACTCCATGAAACATCACATGGTTCTTAACAAGTCAACAAGAGCTACATATGTGGCTAAAGTCACAACAGTAATGCTATTCTGCATGTTGTCCAAGAGGCGAACACAATAATGGTTTTCATATATATTGTGTATATAATGTTGTATGTATGTCTTACACTGGCAGTAAGAGGACATTTTCAGTGATATCCATTATATTGCATTTTTACATATGTTGCTAAATAGACTTTGGTGAACAGGTATTACAAAGGGGTTATATACAAAATTAAAGATTTACCCGTTTCTCAAGTATCTTTGTAGCTGTGTTATTGTACTTACATTATAATCAATCAGCTTCCTTTTGTCCACTTAAAAATTGGCAAATACCAGAAATCAGTTTTTGGAAGACAATCACGTTTTGGCACAACACCCGCCTTAGTCTGATTCAATCCAAGTCCATAACTTGCCTGCAGGGAGACACAGCAAGGAGAGAACGGGTGTGCACTCTGATTGGCTATTGGCCCCTGGGGGAGTCATGCTCCTCCCATGCAGGTAACACATGCCCTGGCAGGAGGACTTTTTAGCAAGGACCTTGACACTGTTGCAAGAATTTGCTCAGGTTCCATAGAGACAAAAACCTGCAGATCTTTGAAGGATCATTTGGGAATCTCTAAACAGTAAAATAGTAAAACAACACAGTGATGGTGAACATGATGGAAAGAGCTTATACAGAGGTCAGATGCTGCCTTGAGACAGACACAAGACTTATATCAGGTGGTAGCGTTGTTGTAGTCACTCCTGTCATCTCACTATGTACCCCGCATATTTCTGGTGCTCAACAAAACTGCTTCCTCTCATTGATATGTCTCATTTCTGGAGAGAAAACGCATGTGTAAAAGTTGCACCTTCACTATAGTATTTCTGTCCTTCTCTTTTGTTCTTCTACCATTAGCTTTGCTTGTTTTTGATCTGCTAATTTTTGCTACTCTTGGTAGAATGCGTTTATTCCCACAATGAACTTGCTGTTGCTACATTCATGCATTATTGATATATCACCACCAATCGGAGTAATACATTCAAGTTTACTACTTTGGTTAAATGGCATTAGAAATTAACAACTCAAACCTGCTGATGCAGGCTATTCCTTGAGTGAGGCCTATTTAAACAAATTACACCACACAAGGTGAGAAAATATGTGTTTATACTGTACAAGGTTGCACCATTAAACTCTCTAACATGCCAGCTCACCATGATGATCATCACTAAAAAATTAAAACTTTCCCATCTATAACTAAAATACCCAACTCCCATATGTCATATATACATTTGTTTTATTAAGATACAACTTCTCATATTTGTCAAGGACTCCAAAATATAAAAACAGAATTAACATAATGTGTAACTCCATGATGTAGCATCATAGCTTCATACTGTGCCGCCATAAATTCAACTCAGTTTCAGGTAAATTGTTCATCAGGTCAGCCATGGAAACACATAAACTAACAACTAAGTAAAAACCCTAAGACAAAAAGATAATATGTGAATATTATTATATAATAAACAAAGGCAATATTTAACAAGCACAGTCTTATTCCCAGTTTAAAATATGTGTCAGTCTGGTTTTCCCCTTCCATTTTAGTGGTATAGTCCACCCAAAGTACTATATGATTGACTAAATACTTCTACTATTACTCAACTCAGTTTAAAGAAAAAAC